GCCTCAGCTTCGGCATTAAGTCAACCAGTTACATGTGCAATGCTTACGAGTATGTATCACTATATAGTAGCATTTTGCAATACACATTTCTAATGCTTAACTGGTTGCTACTCCGATGTCGACGGCACCAGCGTTTACGACGACGACGACGATGACGGCGACGACGCGACGGTGCTGCCGGTTGTAGTTTGATTAAATGGAAAATTTGCTATCATTTGATCAAATTATATTACAGTCGAGCTGGGATTATATGGATGGACAGAAAGAGCGGAAATAAAGAGCCATTTGCATGGGTGTTTCTTTGCTTGGAAGCTAGTGAAAGGTGCACCCGAAGCAAGCATTATTAAACAGTTTCATTGCTCAATCTGAGATATTAGTCTACTCGTATTTGTAGAGGATTGAAAGTATAGTATACGAATGAGGCAAGTGGGACATGGAAATGCTGTGCAAATAGTATGATAGAACAGTTCGGGGAAATGAAATCGTTATCGAGAAATATTAATTTCGTTTGATTGAAATATTGTAAAATTTTTCATAAATCTGAAAAAAGTATGTTTCTAATCCAAAGCAGAACAGATCGAATCCAAAATTGAGTCTAACTTCAGAAGAACTTATAGCCTCGTCCATAACTATAAAGTACAATAAATAAATTAATATCTTAATAATTGCAGTAAAATAATATACATACATATATGTATACACCCCTGCTACAAACTAGAGCAAATATATGACTTGCGTTTAATTTTATAAATACACTTGAATTAGCCAAAAATTCACATTTGAAAATGAACTCAAGTCCGAAAAGGTGCACAGGACTGAAACAAATGTTATTCATTGATAAATTTAATATACACGTATATACGTACATACATATAAATGCACCTGATTCTGTTTTTACAGGGTAGATTGGTTCCAGAAACAACCGTGTAAAAAAAGACATTGATTGGTTCCTTATCTCTAAAGAAATATATTTTCACTTTTTATCAAAATCGGGTAAAAAAGACCGTGTAAACAGAATAACAGAACGGAAACCAAACGCTTTAGCAGTATTCAAGCACAGGAGGTATATGAAAACTATCCCGTTAGCCTTATTTACAGTAGAAAATATATGAAGATTGGCGTTCAAATTGGAATAAAAAAGTACAGTATAAGTAGCTAACGATTTCCATAATAGTTCGTGAAAGTTTGTAAGCTTACATTTAGAGCAATTAAGGTCCAAGTAGTTAGCCAATCAAAAAGATTGCATTCATTTCAGATGAGTGTGCATTAAAAAATATTTACTTTATTAAGGATTGAAATAGTAGGGTGCTTTTTGTATTCTCCAAAAATTCATTAAGTGAGCCCCTAAAAGCGTTTTAACTGTCGTATTTTATTCCTACATTAAATAATTGCATGCTATACATATGTATGTATGTATACAGTACTACGTTTAAAAAAAAAAAAACGGGAATAACAGCACCATTCCCGATATCCAATTCGGCTTCAATAACTTGAAAAACAGACCAAAGAGAATGTAACAATTCAGCAAGTGCCAAAAAAGGCAGTGTGTTTATGCATTGTGATAGAACCAAAAAGTATAAAGTATAGGTACAATTATTGGATATAATGATTCAGGACACAGGATATAAACAATTCATTCAACAAAAAGTTGGTAAAAAGTTGAGCAAGCAATTGTTGCTAGTCTCTCGATTTTGAATTAATTCATTTGTTTACGGCTGACATGTTTACATACAAATTTAATTTAAAACTATGGACCACTACTAATAAATGCGCAATTCTATTGAGGAATTTAACATTAAGTCCGGGCTGTGTACGCTGGTGTACTACCAGTGGCACTCCCATCTGGACCCAAACACACACATGCAGATACAGATACAGATACATATCATAGTACATACTCGCACATACATATGAATGTATTCGTGCTCACACAAAAACGCTAACGAACCAAGGGTAGGTCCCTAATGGCGTGCACATGTGCTACGTGGCGACAAACGAGCTGCAGCAGAATTCGAACGCCCACACGGCTCCGTTCCCACCTCTCCCTTGCAACGAAATGTGTGGACTATTCTAACAAATGTCCAAAAGAAGTCGTCGCAGTCACGTAAAATTATTTTAATAATCACATAACTTTCGGCATTTACACGCCACGCACTGGGAGTAGCGGCCCAGCACCCGAAAGCTCCAGAGAAAGGAAAAAAAAAACAAAACAAAATGTCAATAAATTTTTTGAAGAAATCGGCGTTGGGCTAAAGTTTGGCGATAGAAGGCATCAGCAGAAGCAAAGAAAAAGTAGCGCTTGAGTGGGATTTGCGGCGCACTTTAGTGTCAACTTTAACAATAACTTGGACGGACGGGTACTGCAAGAGAAGAAATACAAGTGGACAACACCCATTCACACATACAAAAAAATATATATTTACGCATATAGTTTAATTCTTGGACCAAACTTTGTCTTTGCAGCCTGTAGGCAGTGTTGCGTTCTAATTTTTACTAAATGGCAAGCGACAACTTCCCAGTTGGCTAATGAAATGAAATCGATGGCAGAACTTGGCCAAGTCCGCACAGCTGGTGGCCATCAGATTAAGAGCCATAGTCGTAGATTTCATTTGCTTATGGCCAAAGAGAAAGTCGAAGAAAGCCTTTTCGAAAGGTAAAATAAACACTGCACTTCTAGCTGCTTAGACTGAGATTTTAGCAAGGCATCAAGTTTCGTCTGAGGTGGCCGGTAACTTCTGCCGCTCACTGTTCGCCAAATGGTGGCCCGGGTGCCTCGCCATGGGGTTGAACTGCAGGTAGAGAGGCGGTGCAGTCATTTGAAATAAATTAATTTGTGCACCTGATGAAGACTGAAGCGGACACAGCTACAAAAACAACAACAATCGCAAGTAGTACAAGTATAACAACAGCTAAGGAACTCCAGCTATCTGACTTTTTATATCTAAAATAAGGCCGGCGGATGGTAGAAACAAATGCGGTATACCATTGCAGGTGCGTTTTTCGGTGTCCACTTTAGGTGACGTCACAATAAGTTTTAGTAGTGTGGTGCGACTCTTAATTCACTTGGCAGAAAAAATTAGACAGCCGCATTCCTTTAGATAGGAGCGATAGTTATCTACTTAGGCTATTCTACTTCCCCTGGTGTTCTACGTGTCCACGCATATTTTAGATCTACCCAGAAGCCTTGATATAATTAATATAAAAGTTTTTCGGCTTCTCGCGGATAGTGCAAAGTGATTCCGAGGGAGGATCACCATTTCCTATTCCTCCTCATCACGCAAGCTCCGACAGAAGTGGTTGCGATAAGGACGTAGTCTGACGGCATGCTCAAAAGTGGTCACTAAAGATTACGTACTCCCACAATAACTCTGGTTTAATTAGTTGGCCTTCTGGCGAATTGCAGTAAAAAATCGTACCTGAAACACATTATGACGTAGTATGTACCTGTACAGGGAGAGTACGAAAGTTGCAGATTGTAATGGCATACTGTGTCTTCACATACCACAGTCCGGGCGCATTTATTGTCATTATTATTTTGATATTTTTCCAACATATTTTTGTCGTGGCTGAGTACTTGCCAGGCAGCCGTAGATTTATGCCAACAAAAGCAAATAATAAAAAATACAAATTTTGCTTTTAATTTTTTCTATTTTTGACCGCCAGAGCAGGCGAATGGACAGCTGCATTAAAAAAGTTGCTAAAGAAAACAGTTTGCATTGCAATTTCTACTCTTATTTCTTTTTTCTGTCCTTTCCTTCCCTTTCTTTTTCTGCTGTTGTGACTTTACTTTTGTTTTGTTATCAGCGCTGGAAATATGTACACAAGTACTCGTACAAAAATAAAAAACAAAATCACCGGCAAAAATGTTAAAGTGTTCTGCGCTAGTTTATTGAGGAGAGAGGGATGGCGACAAGGGAAAGGTGGAGAAAAGGTTGCGCCGCCTGTTAAAGCACTTGGAAAAATATTTGGCCAGACGTTGTTGGGTTATGGGGGAACAGAATTGACAATTTTAATTAGGGTTGTTCTGCAGGAAGTTTCAGCGACAGGGAAAAATCGATTGGAAGAGAAATAGAGATAAACGAAATTGTATTGCTAAAGCTGTTTGTTTGATCCTAATTGGAATTCAAATCCTTAAATCCTTTAAGAACAACTTTTGGCTGGCGTTTGAAGCATAAGACTAAATGTCCAAAGCGACAACATGGAGTGTGTCACTTCATCCTGTTTATTCTTTCAAGAATCTTCCCTACCGATCCGTGACGAATGGCTGGGCAACGTTTTCTTCGGCCTTCCAAAGAAAACACAAATTTAGTTGATTTGTAAAAAACGCATACAATTTATGAGCAATAAAGGAAATATTTATGTTTATTGTGCGCATTAGAGCTAATTAGAGATTATCAGACGATTAAACATAAAGCAGAAAATGAATGACATGAGATGAAAGAAAAACTTTCAATATAAGCTCTCTATGTTCATTATTTTTAGTAGAGAACCCTAGAAAGATTGTGTGATACGTGAATCAACCACCCAAAAAAAAAAAAATTTTAAAGAAGATTCACATAAACCTTTGGGCTGCTTATCCAATTCTTCCTAGTATATTGTATACAGTGTATCACAACTCCCTCAAATATGGTAGCCTCATTTAAGAGTGCAGAGGGTGTTGCTGCCTCATGGCCGCTTTTAGCTCATTACTTTGTTCCTTAATTTCTTTTATGTTTCGAAGCTGTTTGCTTTGCTGCTCTGTTTTCCGTTTTTGCCATTTTGTATTTTATCTCGATAGTTTTGGCTTTTCAGAACTTAATTAAATGCTGTCACACTACTTTGTGCAGTTTGCTAATAGTGCCCCGCCAAGCCGGTGGGCCGCCAAAAGGCGTCGGGCCGGGTAACAGCGATTTAAAGTGTAAACGAAAAATTAACTTTGTGTAAATTGTTGGAAACCACAGCGTGATTAAGAAAGCAAAAGACTTTTGGTATTAATTGACAATATTTTCATTTTTTCCTAGATCGGTGGAGCTCATTGCTTTGTTGGCCATATCGTGCACCTTCTTTCTGTTCATGCACACAAACAAACTGAACAGCCGCCTCAAGGAAATGGAGGTGAAACTACAGCCCTCCGAGTTTTCCGCTCTGGGCTTGACGGGCAATCACATCAGTGGACATGACACGGGCAGTAAGTACCTCCATATTTACCTACATAGTACCAGCTCGCTTCTTCATTAAAAGTAGCTCAAGGGCTCAAGGCCACTGCCCTAAGTGTGTTACTAGTAGGCTCCTAAACACTACATTCAAGTATATAGTATATCATTTAAAATGGCCAACCCATCTCCCCTAGATGAAGCGGACAATAGCAATGCAGTCACGCTCGATTGCCGCAACTCAATGCGTATGCAAATGTACGATTTGGGATTTGATGCGAGAGATACGCTCAAGATAATGTCGATGGACGGAAGAGCGTGTCCGATGCATTGCGCGAAAGCCCCCTGCTATAAATACTTGTACACAAAGAAACAATCGAAGAAATCTGAGCTGACGAAGCGGTAATAATAATAAAGCCTTTCCTATTCTGAGGCCAATATATTAGGCCTTTTTATACCCTGTACCCAAAGGGTAAAAGGGTATATTAGTTTTTATACCCTGTACCAAAAGGGTAAAAGCACACACAGAAGGAGGCGTGTCAGACCCCACAAAGTATATATATTCCTGATCAGCATGACAAGCCGAGTCGATATAGCCATGTCCGTCTGTCTGTCTGTATGAACGCAAGGTTCTCAGAAAGTATAACAGCTAGAATAACCAAACTTGGTATCCAGATTCTCCTGAACCCGAGAAAGGACGAGTTTGTTAATTTTTTCTGATCCACCCCCACTCCCCCCTATTCACGATTTCCTATAACTCCCGTAATTCTTGAAATTTTGAAGTATCTATCTAATTTGATAGTCACATTAAGTTAGTGATTATATATCCGTATACCAAGTTTCATTATGATACGTTGATCAGAAAGAAAGTTATAGCCATATAACCAGGCCCAATGCACACATACATACATATGTACAAGTACACCAATATGCATAGACATGATTCTGATGTGTAATTGTAATTGTAAATATATGTATGCATGTATGGAATATTTTATATTTAATTTAGTTAATTAATTAAATTTATTTAGTTAATTGATTAAATTAATTTAATTTAATTAATTAATTAATTTAATTCCTTTTTTGTGGGTATTTAAGAGTTGAGCCTGCTCGACTTCAGCATTCCTTTCTTGTTGGCTTTAATTATGGCAGTTATACTGACCATGTAAATAAATATGTACTATTTCCTTATTCTATTTTCCCTGAGTGTAGGCTAAGAATACTAGTTCAAGCAAACTTACAATTGAGTCTCTCAAAAATATTTCATTGCATTATCGCAGTCAAAAGAAAATATAATATAGGGTAACACAAAGTGTAATGACTAACAAAAATATAGATTTATTCCTTTTTGGGATCGCCCGTGTAAGCCATAGCTTTGCTACTGATATGCTTGTTGGCATGCAGCAATAACAAATTAAAATTATGTTAACTAAACATTTCGCTTACGTTTTGCATACACTTGCTTGCTACTGCTACTTACTATGTTGATTTTTCCAATGATGATGGCACTAGTTTGTTGAAATAGCTCTTGTACTTTGGTCGATCAATAAGCACCCGTGCTACGAGTTGCATAAGATGGACCATTTGCAGTGCAGCTTTAATGTTAAAGGTATACGAGTACAAACTAATCTACATACATATGTATATCCGACCGTCGATTCGTATGAACACCGAGAACTTGTCAGCCACAATAGCTAGGGGCACAAACTTTAGGTGTCGCAAATATATTATAAGCCATGGATATATGTATTTATAACATTTTGTTTTATATACTTGTATTTATGTTATCTATACTAATATTATAAAGAGGAAAGATTGAATTGTTTGTTTGTTTGTATGTTTGATTGTTTTTTGTTTGAATTGAAAAGGCTCCGAATCTATTGGACCGAACATGGGCTATATAATATGTACAAAAAAGAATGGAATCCTTACTAAAACGCCAATAATGTAACCAAAGGTGTAAAAAATACCTTAAAAACTCCTGCTGTTTAGTTCATAATGCTGTTAGTTCATAATCATCCTCAAAACATTGCCACTTTAAATATTAAGGCAATATTATTCAAAAGCCCCCAGCCAAATAAAAGATTACAAATCGACTGACACCGTGATTAGTATTGAAGACATTTAAATTCACTAAACCCTTCTGGACTGCCGCCACATGAATTGACGGTAAAATTCGGAATTGCAATCATGCTTTTGAGAAATTAAAGCCTTCCAAGCATGTACAATGGGATGAGGCTGCTTATTAAGGAATTGCAGGACAATTGTGTAGCAACTATTATCAACGGCCCAGCAACTGGTCAACTAGCTCATATAACGAGAATACCGAGGATACCGCTGATCCCATTTGATCAAGCCATATAGGCTTCAATTTCCGGTAGTCAAAGGCCAAGCTTTTGAATTAGTAGGGATCGACATACGAAAGGAATGTTTTACTCTATGTTGACCTATCACGGCTCCTAAAAATCTATTTATTTTGCTACCACAAAATAAAACATCAAATATATTTTACAGAGAACCTCTGACCTACTAAAGAGTAACAAAAAAAACTAAAAACGAACAACAAATCATTCAATTAATATCCAAAATTTCACTCCTTCTATGTAATTCATAGCAAAAAGGAGGGTGTATGTGTGTGTGTGTGTTTTAAAGTGTATAATTTTTAAAATTTTTGTAAAAAAAACTCGCGCGAGTAGAGGCAGGACTCTGGTTATATATATATATACATATTTTTTAGCCGAAAAAAAAGGAGGTTATCAATTTTAAAAACTACCTTAAACATACCTGATTCAGTCCAAATAGCTAAACATTCTATTCCTGAACAGGACGCTGTTACTTTAAAATCATCATCGAAACATTAAGTCACTTTAAATGACAACAAAAAACGTTCACTGATCTAAAGTTGGTTTTGTTTTTTAATTTATTTTTTTTTATTATTTTTTTTTTATATATACTAGAATCTTAGGTTTGCCTTAAGTCTTTACTATACCATATAGCTGTCAAAGTTTATTTTAGTTGAATCTCTTTTGTTTGTTTATTTTTCCACAATATTATGTATCCTCTGTGTGTTGGTAATGAGTTCTAGACATAGAAAGACCTCGTTGGTCTTAAGAATGTCAGGTTTTGCTATTGGTGTATACTTAAACCTCGCCCAATTGAATTCTAATTGCTCTATGAAATAAGCCATTACACACGACACTCACCTACCTCTTTGGCGGCTTAGCGTTTGTTGCCATTTACTGTGCACAATAGGCCTTCATGCATAAATAAGTTGATCGCTTTCAGCAAAATTAGTGCACGTTGCTTTATGCATGCATAAATTATTGCATATTTTGTGGCGGACTGCCCCATGAAAATGATGCGCTTAATATACTAAGCAATTAAAATAAAAATAATGCATGCACAATAAGATATATAGAGAAATTATAATTGTAACATATACATACGTGTATAAGTATATAAAAATTCATAAATTTTGTGTTTTTTAGAACATTAATTAATTATTTAACTTTGGAGAAGATGAATGTAATGCATTGTCGTTAGAATACAGTCATTAGCACCTATTTAGTAATATGGGTTTTATTCGGTTAATAATTAATGTTGCCATAATATTTTAATTCAATTAGTATTGATATACGAGTACGTGCGTTCAACCATTTAAAAAATAATGTAAGGTAATCAATGCCAATCAAATCAGACTCAATACCCAGTTCCAATACAAGCTTTTTGTAAATATTTAAAAAATGATTATTAGCTTTCCATCCAAGCAAGGTGTATGGAAATTGTACAAGACAAACATTAAAAAAAGAGTCAGTTAAGAACTACATATTCCAATCACTTATAAAATTAGACTGATAATGAATGCTAACTATTGTATACATTCTTCCTAATCCAGAAGGGCAGAAGTAACTATACCTAAACATTGGAAGACAGTCTCTTGGTTCAATGGATAAAGTGTGCATTAAATACAACGTCAAACATTTCTCATCTGAAGTCATTAATTGCTATCATAATGTTGTAAAGTCGTGACGCCATAAAGGCAAATTAGTATTAAGCAAAATGAATCGTGTTAATCACTATATGCCGGACTTTCTTCGAACAATTAAATGGCGCGTAAATCAAGAAAATATTTTAACACTATTCGGCATTACAATTCAGCTTCCGCTATGGTTACATCAGAAACACAAAATTGAGAGACAATTGCAAGTTTCGTTTATCATTCATAATATAATACTAGTATAAACAATACACAGATGGAGTTGCTCTACAGTAGAATGCAAGCAAATCAATCCTGTTTCGATGTGACAAATTTCGACTGAACTATATACATAGAGTTAACCCATTTGTGCGCTGATTTTTACCAATGAAGGAATATGTATGATACATCCCGATATGGAAATAGAGAAGTACACATGGTGATTAAAGTTAATCCCGGCCGATGTGGCAGTAATAATAATAATAAGTACAGTTGATAGTGAACCACCGTTTAAAAGAAACATGATGATGATATTTTCAAAAACTTATGGTGCAACTCGACAAGTTTCTCGTTCGTCATTTGAGCTATTATTATTTTCTAACGGCGCTTTATGATGAATTCCACGGCACATAATGGTGCAACTACATCCGGAGATAAGGTCAGAATAAGTATGAATGGTATAGACTTGCAATTAAAGATCATTTAAGTGTTTTGCTTCATTCACACAAAATGTTTCTAAATGATGTTTATGTTTCATACATATACTTGTATGTATGTATGTTGTGGGGCACGAAGGAACACGATCAAATATAGGAAAAACACATATATACAAAATACGATCCAAAATATAAGGGCTATCAATCGCATTGTTAATATGTTATGTACACTTCTCCGCAACATGCGGCATAAAGAGAAGAGCGAGGCTGTGGCAAAGGGTGTAGCGCGGGGGACGACATAATAAGCCTAATTTATTATTATAATTTGGTTAAATTGTTGTGGAAGGGAAAAAGATGTCAATTCTTTGTCAAAGCAAGAGCTTACGTAGTGTGGAAAGAGACTGGAATGTTCTTCTCCAGCATTTAATCCGCTCTCTCATACAGTATGTGCCTTGTACGACAACAGCAATAAAGACATGGCTATGCTTTCAGCTGATAAAATACGATTACTACAAGTATTTCAAATTTCTAGCTAACATTTCGAAAAGTCGGTCACATAACTTTCATAGCTTATTGCACATAAAACCATTGGGAATAAAATATTGGAGAATGGGAACTCTTAAATTTAAAGCGTATTGGTTCCAATTGAAAATGCCAACACTTCAAAGAAGTGCATAACAACAAAAGGGGAAAGGGACTTCTAGAAGCTTCAAGTAACACTTGAGACTGTTGATTGCAGCAATTGGACTGCTGCCGACTATGCAACTAACTTACTAATAGCTCTATTATTAAGCAGTCAGAGCAAGAAATAAAGAAAATCAAATCAACTTTCCGCATGCAAAACCCTAATTTGCATGCCGGAAGTTTCACACTAGGCCTCTAATCCGCTTGCAAATTAGTGTTGCAGTTGCAGTTGCTGCAGCTGGAGCTGGAACTGGCGCTGACGAAATGTACTCAAGCCAGCGAGCGACTGTTGCCACAGCTCTTCACGGCTTAGTGCCAGCGATTGCCAGCGACAGAAACTATGTACAACATCTCTAGCCAACAACAGCTGACCACGAAGAGGTTGCTGCTGGCTACGACTTTACAGATGCGCTCTAATACCAAAATGCTCAGACAAAAGCAGTGCCTGAATGCTTTTGTGGGTTGCCTTTGCCGTTGCCGTTGCCGATGGCATCATGCGCCGGCGCAGCTGTTTCTACAAGTAGTGTTATTGTTTTTGTTGTGGTGTCGCCGTTTTTTGTAGCTGGGATCCGCACGCGCCGAAGACGGGCGAGATCTTCAAATTGTTCGTCTTTGGCAGACAAGGCAAGACTCAGCTAACTGCCAAAGTTACAAAAGGCCTTGGCAACACAAATGTGACGTTGATGAGCACTGCCGGCGTCTTCGTCGGTCCAAAAAATACAACATTATCATTCAACTTCATTCGTTCATTCATAAATATTTCATTTAATTGACTCATTCGACGATGCACCAGACTTTAAAAACGTGACGACTCTGTTGTGTCTGTTTTGTTTTGCTTTAAGTACATATGTACATATATGCATATGTACATACATACATACATACATACATATACGCGTATGAATGGCAAAACAGCATTGAACTTGAATTTGAGTAATCAAATATGTATGTATGGTTATCGCTAATTTGGAATGACTTGCCAATAATTGACAACAATATTTCGGTTAATCAAATATGCACTCTGTCTTCTAATTATAGAAACAGAAGAGAAGTTATCATTACCTTGCACATATGTATGTACAAACATTTGTAGAAAAGTGCTTACATAATATATACACGTGTGTTATTATTAAAAGCATTAGCACATTTGGTTTGTTTTCATTTCTATTTCATATACAATTCTTTTTAAACAACATAATGCAACATAATGCTAATACGAATTTAATACTTAATTTTATGTATGCGCAATTCAATAAATATCATCGGGGTGTGAACTTCATCAATTTTTTAATACATACTTTTTATAGCAGCTGTGTACCGCATCTGACCTAGCATTTATTAATTTCTAATGACCCAAACAAAATTTGGGACCTATTCAATTGAAGAAAAAGCAAACCACATTGGACTCTTCGCTATATATCCAAAACAAATTATACAAATCACGACAAAGTCTCACAACCAGTCAAAACGCCCCATCAAACAAGAAAGGAATGCTAAAACCGTGCGAGCCAAACTTCTAAATACCTTTTACCTACTCTAAAAAAATAAACAAAAAATTGAGATTTATTTTAATTAAATTATTTTAAATTTGTTTAAATGGGTTTGTTGTTTGTTTATGTAACACACCGAAGTACATATATTTTTTAACAAGTGACATAACATGACAATAAAATTCTCAATTGCAACATACGTTTCAATATCTTTCCAAGTAAAACGCAAAACTCTTTCGACCTGGTAACTATAACTATGTAACTTAATGCTTGGTCCATCCAATTCTTTTTTGTGTACCTACCCTCAGACTTTTCAATGAAATTGCTAGCGCCAATTGTCTCTAGCTAAATCAAAAACTTACTGATCGAATATACCACTGCGCCATTGCAAAGTTCTTCCCTAAAAATAATCTTAAAATGTCGGTTTTGGTTATACGAGCGATCATCGTTTAGCTTTACTGACACTTTAATGTTCAATAACCGGGTTAGGTTCAGCCACGAAGGCTAAAATCTGTTCAGATCATCTACAAATGTGCACAACTATGGAGCAGGTGCAACTAATTGTGGGATTGCAATATCAATAGCAAATGCGTTAGTATGTACGGCTGTATGTTTATAACTAAGCCTGTAACCCAATTTCACGACCACAAAACTTTTTCATCTTGTTTTTTGTATCTCACAGATACAAAGCAAATCTGCAACGTATTTCACTTTGCACAACTTGGTTCAGTAACTTGAATACGCAAAAACCAGTTCACACGCTACAACTTTCATTCAATTTTTGACGACTGCCGTTCAGTAAAAAGGCCACACGAGCAAACCCAGATTCCGTCGAGAAACTCCTGCGGACTGCAGTCCAAATACAACAAATCTGGTTTAACATGAAGTTTATGGGACGCACCAGGGGTAGCTAGACTTCCTCATTCAGTTCCACCAACTGCCAAATTACGATTTACTTGTATTTGTCCAAAAACAAAAGTGGTGCGGCTATTGGACATAAATTGAAACGTTTCCGCCTTGCTCTATATAGTATGTAGGTGTATTTTGACACCAAAATTGACAGAAAGAAATTGAAAATAAATAAATTTCATTCAGCAAATATTAAAACCTGTATTCTATTTGTGACTAATCTCTGTCTGGCTTCCTGCTGCACTTCTAATATCTGTCTCTCTTTTTTTTAATTTCACTTCACAATCGCAAGTGCGTGGTGAAAACTTTCGAATACTGCTGATAACACATTTTGGAGCCTGAGCTAGCTCTCTATCCTACGCGCACGCTCTGTCGAAAGTGAAAGGAGCCATCATGAGGTTGCATATTTAAGTCGATTTTGTTTTGTAAGGAGTAAGTGGAGGACTTCCCTGTTAAACATTGCATAAACATTTGAAGCCAAAAGTAAAAGTATTGACAAAAGAAGCAGCATTCAAGACAAAACTGAATACGAGTCTGGCTTAACTCTTCTGCACTTTGGACAAGTTCGTGTCAATCCGACAAAATTGATTTATGAAGGCCTAAAAGAAGGTCTAGAAGGAGGCATGACATACCCCAGAACAATTTTATTATTTTCTTGATCAGTGAGATAAGACAAATCGATATGCAATAGTCTGAATGAATTAAGCGCTAGAATATTTAAGCTCTTTATTCAGTTTCTCCTCAATTCAAGTCGAGCTAATACTCGTATATCGACTCTAAAAAAGGTTACACCCATAACTGTAATAATTATCAATGCTCGTTATGACTCCACAAAAATTCGCAAACATACATGCATAAACAATTTAAAATATGAAAATTCACTTTACCAAACATATATATAAATGCCTAGCAGCAAAATTACTTGCTAGTGATTTTCATTCAGGCTGGGACTTTACCATAAATCGACCGACATCTGTAGAAACTGAAGAGACGTGGAAGAGGAGGAAATAGTAAGCCACCTCTTTTGCGACTGCCAGTCTTGTTAAGGTCAAGACAACGCTTTCTAGGGGCCAGCCTCCTCCCAAATCTAACGCCACTATCAAATAGGAAGTCGGGGGACATTTTCAAATTCATCCAGGCTTATGGATGGGGACAAACAGATAGCGGCAACATAATGGCCCTATTTTAATGGTCTAAGTGAGTCAGGGTTTTCACCTTGGCTGTCGCACCTACCTACCCACCTATCTCTTTCATCTGCTTACCGATAAGACAAATGTCATATTAAGATTGGTGACTCTAAGCTATTTGGTTCAAAGTATAGGGCTGGCTTGTCTACATTTGGCTGCCATTAAGCTTCAGAGAGAAGTGAAAGGTTACACTGAGAGTGATGAATGGCTTACAATATCCTATTACTTATAGTTTAATCAGCAGATAAATCCAAATGGCGTTGTACGTCTGCCTGTGTCAATTCCACAGTGTTAGAACTTCGCACTGGGGAGGGACATGAATACCAGTACGGACCACTTCAGAACACTCTAAATATAGTGACCAGGAAGGACCAAGTTGAAGAATTGGATAGGGTAAATAGTTTAAGCACGCAGGCGATGAAAACTACATATGTATGTATGTATGAAGGGAAACTGATTTGCCCTGCTTTCACTCGTCATCATAACATTCCTTTTTTTCTCACAGCCTGGTCTAATTTTAGTTTCTTGTACTCTTACAATCGGTTAAGCGTATCACTCAAGTTTTATATCATTTTCAGAACCCGAAGACATCAATACGCTGCATGGTACCTATCAATATTTAAAAAGCACCGGACAGGTAAGTGCATCAAATATCCTATTTATTACATACTGCCATATCCATGTCATAGTCGTAAACATCAATGCTTCAATTCAATTTTGATTGGCCATAAATTCGTCGAATCCCATAAAAATGCTAAGCATTTGAATCGTGGCCTGGTGCTTGCCTGAAACTGCTCCATGGTGTTTGATATTTAAGGCATCTCACATGTTCTCTGTCTTTGTCTGTCTCTGTCTTGCTCATTAGATCAAGGGTAATTATTACACTTCTCATATTGTGAAATGTCTCTCGTCATACACACTCGTAAATCGTAAATCAGTAAATCAGTGTACACGCTTTGCACCCACATAACATTCATACAACACACAATATTACTCTGGTTGTTGATATAGTTCTCTTTCTCTCAGTCTCTCTCTCTCTCTCTGTCTCTATCTCTCTTGATCTGACTTTCGTGTTCTCTTGTGCTCTCTTTCACTGTCTCTCTCTGAAACACTGTCTCTCTACACTAACATACTCTTCGCTTTGACTTTGTCTTGGAAATTTGTTAGTGCAGTTTTTTTAAACCGAGGCAGACTCCAGTTTCGACACACATGTCAGGTCTTGAGCATTCGCACACACAGAAAAACACGATCTGCAGGCTCGGCAAATGGTAAGTGTTTGACACATTGACCACATTTTGTAAACGCCAGCTTTGGGACTTTTATACTGAGCCTCTTAAATACTCTTGTATAATCATATTGGGCAAAGAACGCCTACAGAGGCAATTGCGCCTGCTTTTCGTGGTCTCTTGTTTGTTGACTGTTTTCAAGCCTATTGACCAAATACCATTATGTCCACGTGTGCTAGTTAGTCGTCTTTAATGGTAGCTGTCTGTAGCTTTTTGTCTATCTGTCGGATTGTACGTGAGTCGCTTTGTCTTGTGTGTACATGGTAGTACTGCCTCACAGCTTTAACGACTAAACGCCGCACAACCAAACAACACTGGGAATGTACAATTGGACACAGTCGTCTTTAATCGCGTGCCGAAAACCAGCAGTAAAAAGTTACTGGAAGTGCTTACACCGCTAACAAAACGGAACAAATTTGAAACGCGACGCCGAAACCATGCATGAGTCAATAATGGTGAGCCAGAGGTTCGCATTAAGCTGCTCAAGTCAAAAAAAAAAAAAAAAAAAAAAACTTAATTGCAACACATAGAGTCTCTAGACTAATTGAACTGCCCTATATAGCTTGGAAGAAAAATAATTTCGGAGAACGGCGATCTGTTTATGAGTAAGGGCAGAAATGCAAACTGTCAGACCTCAGAAGGCAAATGCGATTCTTCAGTCGCCAACAGCAAGAAGAAGCAATAATTGTTCCCTCATCTTAGGCCCTAACTTGTACGCGAACCATGGAACAGGCCACTGCAGTAGTCGGCACTTGGAAAGATACAAATATAACTATATGCCACGCCTCTTTGCAGGAGTCAGGCTACTAACCGTTGGTATCAACAACTGGGCAGAGTCAATCGGAATAATTTCCCACAAGAAGACAATCGAGCTTTATTTGTTTGTTTGTTGCCGCGATGTTGTACAAACAATATACTGCCCATTGCATTGCAATTAAACAAACTTCAAGTGCTGAAAGTGAACAAGTATTTGTCTAATATCGTTTCCAAGAATACACCTGTAACTGAATTACTTTTCCACTGCTTTATGTTCTGTACTACACTGCTATGGCACATTATTCAGTCATCGCATGCCATGTTGGGACGGTAGCAGCCACTATGGCCCTGTACTTATCAATATAATCACTCGAAAACTTCACTATACTTGTACAGCGACATGTGCGCAACGTACACGCGCGGACGCAACTCCTAAACGGAGAGGAAAAAGAGCCGGATTCCGAAGGTAACAACTTTATTCACGATCTCAAGAATGGGCACAATGCTCAGCACCACCTGCACAAGGCCGAAACCGATAAGCAGCTGGTGCGAGGAGATATAGTGAACGAGAGCCAGAGAAGGAAGTCACACAAGCTCAGGGAAGCCTTTGATGATGAAGACGAAGATGAGGATGACGATGTGGATGAGGATGAAGGTTTCAACTTAGACGCAGATCTACTCAACAATACCAAGCTCGCTGAGGTTGACTTTGTCTTTTTCAATCGCGTTCCCAAGGTGGGAAGCCAATCGCTTATGGAGCTAATGCAGCGCCTTGGAAAAGTTAATGGATTCCAGCACGGGCGCAATAAAGGCAGAGCACACGAGACCGTGCTAATGGGCAAAGACCGGCAGAAGGAGCTAATTGCAGATTTGCTAATCCGTCAAAAACCTCATATATACAGTCAGCATATTGCTTATATAAACTTTACGCGCTTTCATCTGCCACGGCCTATATACATAAATCTTGTCAGACATCCTGTGGAGCGAATTATCAGCTGGCACTATTATATTCGAGCACGTTGGTACTATCGTGATATGAAGGACAAATTGGGTGACGAGGCGCCTCCTATGCCATCGGATGAGTTTCTGGATATGGACTTGGACACATGTGTTCGAACGAAGAATGAACACTGCACCTTTGAACAAATGCAAATGAAAAATCCCGTGGGCGATCATCGCAGACAGGTTCTGTTTTTTTGTGGCATGAATCAGAAAGTGTGCATGTAAGTAGCTTTTCAAGGCCATCGATATACTCGTACAATACTGTCAACCCCTTTACATAGGCCCTTTAATTCTCCGGTTGCTATGCAAAGGGCGAAGCGCACTGTGGAGGCCGAATATGCCGTCGTAGGCACTTGGGAAGACACAAATATTACGCTGTCAGTGCTCGAGCACTACATACCGCGCTATTTTCGCAATGCAAAGGTGGCCTACTACCGTAAGCAATGAAATCATCACTCATCTCTATAGCTGCTTTCTAAAATAAACCAACCCCACTTGCAGTGGGACTGGAAAGACTCTCTAACGTCAACAGGAATAATGTAACACGCATTGTTAGTGAGGAGACACGTCAAATACTAAGCAAGAATCTGACAAATGAGATTGAATTCTATGAATTCTGCAAACAGCGGTTATACCTGCAGTACGCCGCCCTCACTCAAGGGAAGAGACTCGGAGATGATGACTATCTACTGGTGCCGGACCAGCGCAACGAGTATAATGAGGACTATTAATAATTAATAAATTAATAAACATTTTATCGTTAAGCATAGTCAATAGTTTTTGTCCATCTCTCCTCCTGCGTTTCATGAATTCAATCTTTGTGTGTTCTACAGAATACTGGACACTTTACACTTGGTTGTCCAATGAGCAGCAACTAGATCTAAGCCCTTTAGTTACATCGACATGAGTTACATTAGCTTGGAAAAAAGTTGTTACTACTACAGACAAATTCCTTGGAGCTCTGAAAAATAATATAACCTGACTAATCAAATCGAGTCGAACAATTTGTAAATTTAATGGCAGTCCAAAGAGTTAGAAATTATTCTTTTGCCAACTATTTTTCGAACGATTCAATCTGAAATGGAACCTCCATCATTAGCATATTCAATGTACCTGGGGCTTTAGCTTTGGCCAAGCAAAAGGTGTGGCGGGACTTTGCTGTAGAGCTCTTGGGAGGACAGGGATATAAATGCAATCTTTGTGGCATTGGAGCACTATATATCATGCTGATTAAATATTTCTCTTCAATATCTGCCCTAATCCTCTGTTTTATTTGCCTCGAACCTAATCACAGAAACAATAACCATTGCGAGTCAAGCAATGCCTTAATGACATCTTAAATAAAGCGTTTTAAGTTGTAAGTGTGGTCGGAAATACATTTTTAACATTTTGATTTTGTAAAATATGGGCTATATTATGAGCTAAATTATTTAAGGAATGGGCCATTGGTGGGCTTTGCAGGTCTTATGGTGGTCCACTAACATCAGCTCAGTTTTTGACAGTAGCTCTCAATATTCCTTTTAATTTCAAGCTGCAATCTCTGGATCCAGCTCAATTAAATAACACAGTTCATGCTGAGCGCGACTTTATTTTCTTCAATCGCTTGGAAAAAGTTGGCAGTCAGTCAATGACCCAGCTTCTAGGCAAGCTGGGGGAGCGCAATGGGTTTGCTACGTATCGCAATGAGATACCTCCTTCCAAGCCAAACACGGAGCTCTTTGAAGAAGAAGAGGAATTTGTGCAACAGCTTCTTGAACTTGTAGACCCCGCTGTGTATGTGGAACACACTAATTGGATTAATTTCACGAGTCACAATATGCCAAAACCTATTTATATCAATCTGGTACGACATCCCATACAGAAGGTCATGAGTGCATATTATTATCGTCGGCATCCTATGATATACGCCAATGCTATACAACGCCGGCCAAATAAACCTGTGGATACCAAGGAGTACTTCGACAGAACCTTCAATGATTGCGTCCGACAGCAAATTGCTCCGGAATGTGTCTTCGACTCCCACAATCCCTTCAACAACGATTGGCGGCGCTTCGCCTTGCATCTGTGTGGGAATAAGCCTGTTTGCGTGTAGGTATCTGACTTGATAACAAAGTTGACCCGTTAGCTTAAATGTGACTCTGTCCATATGCAATCCTTGAAAGTCGTTGGTTAACATTTTGTGTAGATTTAGTAGATTTTCACAGTCATTTAAGTGTTTATTGTGTAAGTGGCTTGTGCATTGTACACTTCTAATTTCAACTTTTAAAACAGTTGCAACAGCTTATTCCGTCCTCTGTGAATAACACAATAAAGGCCAATGAAAACATCCTCTTCCACAATAGCCACAAAATTGTGGGCGGTGGCAGCATCAACAAGTTGCTACTCACGCTTTCGCGGCAACGTGGCTTTGGCTGTTACAGCGCAGGTCCTTATAAGACGAACAGTCTGTTAACCGATCCGATCGAACAACGCCAACTGGTCGAAGGACTCACAGAAATTGTGCAGCCCTTGGTTTATATAGAATCCATTAACTGGCTTGATTTCTCTGCCTTCGGACAGGCTCAACCAATTTTCATCAGCTCTGTGCAGCACCCCATTGAACGTGTGAAGCTCTCCTACAGTCAAAGTGATTTAGCCAGTTTTAGACCAGACTTCAATGATTGCATAAGACAGGGTGTTCATGAAGCCTGCAATTTTGCCCCGTTTAATGCCTATAATGGCGACAATCGGCGCCAGGCCTTGCACTTGTGTGGCAACATGCCCGCCTGCAAGTAAGTCTAAACAAAATCAATAGTAAAGTGCGAAACCTTCAACCAACTTTGCAGACAATTTAACTCGCAGACGGCCACACAGATAGCCAAGTGGAACGTGGAGAAGGAGTACGCAGTGGTTGGCTCCTGGGAGGATACAAATATAACCCTAGCTGTGTTGGAGGCGTATATTCCGCGATTCTTCAGTCATGCCACTGAAGTCTATTACAGTAGGTGCTGAACCTATTATAAATTACATATAACTTAAGCCTTACCTTCCTGTAGGTGGAAGAGATCGATTTCATATTAATACCACACCACACAACACTAAGTTGGATGACGATATAGAAGCGATGCTCAAAATGCAATTTGCTTTTGAAATTGAACTTTACAACTTTTGCAAGCAGCGACTATATAAGCAATACATAGCGATTCAGAAAGAGGAGTTGATGCGCCAATTCGAGGCGCATTAGGTTCTTTCAGATTTAATAATTTAAAAAACAAAATACAGGGCTCTCCTCTTACAACAAAATCCAAACAAGTCTTTCTCTCATTTCACTAATCTCAGCGGATAATAGGTAAAGTTTCCATTCCCATACCCTCCTCATGATATACACGTACTCGTATGTAGTTCCAATCTGCTCCTGACGATAAATTGTCACAGCCTAATTGTTCCAAACCACTTCGCAGCTCTTTCATCTAAATGCCCAGGAATTAAATAATACAAAAAAGTCTGAGATCGATGTGCTCTTTTATAATCGAGTACCAAGAACGGGTAGCATGCAACTGATCAAGCTCATGGCACAATTAAGCAAGGTGCATGGCTATGATGTAGACGAAGACCCACAGAATGGCGGTATCATACCATTACTAGAGCCTGCTGAAGAGAGCGATTATATTGAAAACATAGCGGGCTTAGATGATGGCTCTGTCTTTGCTAGTCATCTGAACTACTTAAACTTTAGCTATTACGATCAGCCCAAGCCAATCTATATCAACATGGTACGCGATCCAGTTGATCGTGTAATTAGCTGGTATTACTATATACGGGCACCCTGGATCTTTGTACCCAATCGTCGGCGCAACAACCGCGAAATGCCCAATCCAAAGTGGGTCAACACTGAGTTCGATCAGTGTGTTCTTAGCGGAGAAAAAGCTTGCACATATATCGAGGGCTCCTTGCTAGAACGCGCAGGCGATCATCGTAGGCAAACGTTGTTTTTCTGTGGACACAATGAGTTTAAATGCACGTGAGTTCTAAATAGTGGAAAGCTAAGCGCAGCGATAACTCTGTACATGTATATGGAATCTCATTCCAACCTAGGCCTTTTAACTCTCGACTGCCTCTGCAATTGGCCAAAATGAATGTGGAGCGGGAATATGCAGTCGTGGGTACTTGGGAGCACACAAACGAAACTTTAAGTGTCCTGGAAGCCTATATACCGCGCTACTTTGCCAGTGCCACAAAAATCTACTACTGTAAGTCTTTACCGAGCAACCAGAATCAAAGTTAATGGGATCACTTTTGCAGCGGGCTTGCACAATGAGCGAATCAATGACAATCCCATGAAACCGCATATTCGAGAAGAAGTTTTGCAAATGGTGCGCAAGAATTTTACACGCGAAATCGAGTTCTACCAATTTTGTCGCCAGCGCTTGCACAAGCAATATCTGGCACTCAAGTTGCCTGAACTAAAGCGTTTGAACAAAGAATCAACTCGATTGCCGGCTCAAAATGGCTCAAAACGGCTCCTTTTTAGAACTTTACTTAATTAAGAGCTGTTCTGTGAACCGTTGCATTTTTAGATATTCTACATTTAAATACAAGTATTTGTGTTGAACAGTGTGGCGAATAATTATTATAAATAGATTTGAGTATTAATATTAATCCGAGCACCCAGCTAGTTCTTCCTGTATTCTGCTCCCTCTGGAGGTAATCTATCGCTTTAAACATCCTAAGCATTATTTAAAGCCCGTTCTTTCCGCTACATTTCGAACGTACAAGATATCTTTGAATACTAACACTACCGAGCCACTAACAATGCGTCCAGTGGAAGTAACCATAAACTTCACCCACGCCCACACAGCTGAAACGCCTGAGCGTAGAGCGCTTGAATAATACACGAGATGCGGAAATCGATGTGCTCTTCTTTAACCGGGCCGCTAAAGTGGGCAGCGAAGCGATTCTTGAGCTTTTTAATGCGCTCGAAAACTACAATGACGATCTAGTTGTGGAGCGCACAGGTCTGCAACAGAGTGTCTTTCGGCAGCTGAATAGGACGAAACAGCGTGAGGCAGCCGAGTTTATTGCCGATCTTGAAGAAGGGACTTTTTACATAGAGCACATCAATTGGTTGGACTTTGAGGATTTTGATTTACCTAAGCCCATATATATGGGAATGGTACGCGATCCCATTGAGCGCGTGATCAGCTGGTTCTACTATGTACGCGGCTCATATAAAAACGCCATAGAATATCGAAAGTTTCCAAACAAAAGGATTAGACCAGCCGCTTGGTATAAGAAAAACTTCAATGATTGTGTGAGGAGCGGTGATCCGGAATGTCAGTATGTGCCACACACAGTGAAGGATGCGGTGCCAAACTTTAAGCGTCAATCTTTGTTCTTTTGCGGCCATCACGATGACTGCCTGTAAGTAAGCGGGAACATACAATACATTGTATAAATAAAGAATGCGCCTCAAGGAATAATTTATAACAACTTACAGTCCCTTTAATTCCCCGGCCGCTGTCCAAATGGCCAAGGAGCATGTAGAACGGGACTACGCAGTGGTGGGCAGCTGGGAAGAAACAAATATTACACTCACCGTATTAGAGCAGTATATACCACGATTTTTTCGCGGGGCCAAGCTGATGTTCGAGAGTAGGTTTGCGAGACTACCCCATATTTGATTCAATTGTTACAAGAAGATGTTGCTTTCTCCACAGTGCATAATGACAGGATCACCAACCGCAACAAGAATAAGCGTAAGCCTTTCATAGAACCAGAAGTCAAGCAGCTGCTCAAAGCCAACTTTACGAGCGAATATGAATTCTACCATTTTTGCAAACAGCGGCTATACAAGCAGTATTTGGCGTTGCATTTGCATGAACTGGAGGCGCGTGGACTGCTGGTATAGCCGAGGAGGTTTATATTTCTTAAAAACACATTGTCAGCACCAAACATCCATCTTAAGAACTCAGCGCAGTGATATTTTGTGTCGATCCAATACAAGTATATGTTAATGAACTCGCTTGCAACATTCTACACCCCAATCCATTTGTGTCTAATATGAATTACGTAGTGTCTTACAAGTATCTGCATTATGCATCACTGGTAACAATAAATGGAAATAAACATGAAGAAATGATATTCGTTTTAATAATGCATAATGTGTATACATAGTTAAGGTCGTTTTGTTTTTATACCCTGTACCCAAAGGGTCTAAGGGTATTTTTTACCGTGGCGGAGCGAGAGGCGGGTACAAGGTATACAAAAGTCAGACTCGGTCGACTTTCATGTTCTATTCGTTTAGTGTTGTTGTCTGATATGGTACCTATATTTGAAGCATGTCTCTAAAGCAGGAATGCTGCTCCTCTCTAAGAACTTCTGCTGAAGTAGTAACAAAATTCAGCTAGAAATTAAAGGATACAAGCTATCCTTACTTTCCTGCTTAGTATGGGGTGGCTCTTAAATGAAAACGAATACGAATAACGAAATGCGATTGTGAAGATCCTCGCAGTGCAGTTGAATGTCTCAATCAAATAGCCTACTTCCCTTCAGTTGAATTCGCTTAGTGCCAAGGAACTAAACAACACGGCTAAAGCCGAAATGGACCGTTTGTTCTTCACCCGATGCGCAAAGGTCGGCAGCGAGGCACTCATTGAGTTCCTCGAGCACTTGCAGACAGTCAACCGATTCAGCATCGATCGGTACGGGCTGCAAAAACAAATCAAGCGTCAAATGAGCGAAGCGGAGCAAGCGGACATAGCGGTTCACATCTACCAAAATTCGCCGGGCTCGGTCTATGTGGAGCACATCCCCTGGATCGACTTCAACGACTTCAATTTGCCTCGTCCCATCTACGTGAATCTGGTGCGCGATCCCGTGGAGCGTGTGATCAGCTGGTACTACTACGTGCGAAATTCCTACCGCAATGCCATATTTTATCGCAGGAACCCTGATGCACCCATCAAACCGGCTAGCTGGTTTAAGAAGAGCTACAATTCCTGTGTGCGCAGTGGAGACAAGGAATGTCAATATGTGCCGCTCTCGGTAACTGACACTGAGGGCAATTATAAACGCCAGTCTATTTTCTTTTGCGGACACAGTCCCGACTGCTTGTAAGTGTTGCCAATTTTCAAGCCTGATCAATTTCATAGATGTCACCGGAATTCCAGGCCATTCAATTCGCCACTAGCTGTGCAAATGGCTAAGCGCAATGTGGACCAAGATTATGCAGTTGTTGGCACTTGGGAGGAAACGAATATAACCCTTGCTGTCCTAGAGCATTACATACCGCGGTACTTTGCAAACGCAACCACAATTTATGCAAGTAAGAGCTGGGCTGGAATTTTCCTTTCAAGTGTTATGGCATTACTCTCTCCGTAAATTTCAGAGTATCAGAAAACTTTGAGGAACCGAAATCGTAACAATCGCAAGCCCAGAGTGGATGCGGATGTTCGAGCTATGGTGCGACGAAATTTTACGCACGAGTACGAATTTTACTATTTTTGCCGACAACGCCTATACAAACAGTACATAGCTATTAAGAGTAGGGACCTTAACTTGGAATAGGTACAACTCATATCCCCACTCACCTACTAGTACTTCCATAAATTTTTCAAACGCAAATACAGGGATTTTCCAACATCTGCTGCTTCTTAGTGTACAAGGAGTACTTCCGGAAAAATTGAGGCTAAGTTTAGATACACTGTTAAAATTTACTTTTCAATTTATTTAATTGTCTGTGTCAGATATAAAATAAAAAGTATATAAAAACAAATCCAGGCGTTCATCAAGACTGACGGACAGGCGGACATGTCTATATAGCGTCGTCTCGTCATGCTGATTCAAAATATACGTGCTTAATTACTTGTAGTTTGGAGATGTTTCCTTCTGCCTGTTATATGAAATACTTTACACCAACCAAATACTTATACCCTCTTCACCTTTCGGGCACGGGGTATAAAAATAGATGCTGCTGCTCCAAAATATGTTTCAGCAATATTGACGACCTCAAAAAATACTTTTAGTACGCCTTTAAGTAAAGGGTAAAATAATATACATATAAACTGTAGATGGAAATCTACTTAAAATAAACTTATGGATTAGCAGAATATATCGCCCATGCTTGGTTGCTGTTTATTGAAGCGGTTGGTTCAGAGGCATTTTCTTCTACCTCATAGATACTTTGCGAAAACCGAATCTACCCTTTGACCTTTCGGAAATACGATGAAAAAAGATTTTAATACACTATAGAAAAGAGATAAATCAATTATATGAAATGATTGTGTTGAATTTAAAACTATTATTCATTCCCTACGGTATTTCACAGGAGCACTTTTATACCGCCAGCTTGGTTTCTTTGAGTAGATGAAGACTTGGTTTTAAAACAATATAGCCAAAAATGCTTGGTTAACAGTGCTCAACAGTGCTAATAGTTCAATTCTTTTTTTTTATTTTTCTGTATTTATGTGTAGTAGTTCGATATAAAAAAAACCGTAACTAACTAACTTACTATTTGATTCGACTTGAAAGTATTGATAGTCATCGTCTTATAACCACCACAGCTCGTTTCCCTTAGTAGTCAACGGTTAAATAATACTCGAAATGCTCAGCTCGATGTGATATTTTTTAATCGCGCAGCCAAGGTGGGTAGTGAAGCACTAATGGAGCTGCTGCTGAGCATTGCTCAGAAGAATAAATTAAATATTCTTACCCAAGGACCTCTGAAGGTCCTAACACGGACGCGCACGCTGAAGCAGCAAATGAAACAGGCATTATGGGTGTCAAGGCTATCGCCCGGCACTGTTTACATCGAGCACTGCAATTGGCTAAACTTCACTAACTTCAAGCTGCCACTTCCTATTTACGTGAATTTGGTTCGAGATCCTGTAGAGCGCGTCATCAGCTGGTACTATTACGTACGAGGTGCCTATCGGAATGCCATATTCTATCATCTGTTTCCCCATAAACCAATGCAGCCGGAAGCTTGGTATAAGAAGAGCTACAATCAGTGCGTTCGAAGCGGAGATGAGGAGTGTCAATATGTCCCGGAGTCTATACAGGATACAGTTGCCAACTACAAAAGGCAAACGTTATTCTTCTGTGGAGATGGTTGGGAGTGCCTGTGAGTAATTCGAAAGATTACGCCGAAGTTCGAGCTAACACTATGGCTATTCGTGCCTTTCCCTCACTTAGACCCTTTGACTCGCCAAGTGCAGTTCAGCAGGCCAAGAGGAATGTGGAACGCGACTATGCAGTGGTGGGCAGTTGGGAGGATACCAATATTACTCTAGCTGTGCTAGAGGCTTATATACCGCGCTTCTTCCGCCACGTGCAGAATGCCTTTTATTGTATGTACATTCATATGTATACTCGTATGTCTACACAATTGACATCTGAACACTTGGGTTTACTCGTACTTTCTGTGTGTGACAAAATAATACACAAAAATAACTCTCACCTGCTCCTCATTTGCTTCATCACATTGCTGTTTGTGTGCCTTAGTTGCACTCTATTACTACTCCCATACTTATCGTAGCTTCCGCAACTGCGCACCTTATATCTGAACAACACGCGTTACTCAAACAACTCCATCGCCGTCTTCAATCGTCCCACTCGAGCTCTCACAGAACCATTGCTGCATCTCCTACGCGAGCTATCCGCCATTAATGACATGAACATTGTGGTGAATGGACCCGTGAGGAGCATGAATCGCACGCGGACGATCCATCAGCAAGCAATCGAAATGAAATGGATCACCGACCTGGAAGAAGGCACGCTGTATATGACACATGGAAATTGGCTTAACTTTAAGGATGTTGAACGACTGCCACCCGTCTGGATTAGCTTCGTGCGTGATCCGGTAGATCGCGTGATTGACAATTACTATCGGAAACGCCGAATTGAGAAGCGTGCAATAAATCGTCGCTTCTTCCCGGGACTATCACAAAATCCAAAAGCATTGTCCACACAAAGCTTCAATGATTGCGTGAGGTCTGCCAACCCGGAGTGTCAATATATTCCAAATGCAATGGATGATGTGGTAAAGGACTTTAGACGGCAGTCCCTGTTTTTTTGTGGCCATGATAATGACTGTTTGTGAGTATGGATTCCTAATCCATTGAACATATGCTTGGTAATCTGTTCCTCCCAGACCCTTCAATTCGGCCTATGCCATCCAGATAGCCAAGCGCAACGTAGAAAAAGAGTACGCGGTGGTGGGCACCTGGGAGGAAATATACATAACCCTAACTGTTCTGGAGAAGTATGTACCTCGTTTCTTTAACCATGCACGATTCCTCTACAAATGTAGGTAGCTCCCAGACGCCCAAGTGTTCAAGATCGTCTGCTTTAGTATTCTCTAAATCTAAACCACCCTCGTATTTATTTCAATTTGCAGTGCACAGCCAACAGATCAGTAACCGTAACCGTAATAATAGAAAGCCCAAGGTAGATGATGATGTCAGGGCTATCGTAAAACGCAACTTCACCAATGAGTACGAGTTCTACTATTTTTGCAAGCAACGATTATACAAGCAATATCTGGCGCTACAGCTAGAGCGTAATCTAAAATGATCTCATCAATTACAGAAGCGATAACGAAAAACAAAGATTATACCAAATAAAATAAAATTGTAATTGTAATTTGTAATTTTTCTATTTTTCTACCCACGATTTCTATACAATTGTTGCTTACACAGTTTAAAGAATAGAGAGATTGTAACTATGCTAACAATTGATAAATTAGTTACTATACCCTCTACTTATTCTTGAGTACGCTATTCATAATGGTCGTGAGGACATTAATGATGACCCACATAGTCAACTAAAATCCGTGATCACCAAAGATTCGATCGAAATTGTACGCGAATTCATCAAACATTGGCACTGTGTGCCTTTTACCTTTTCAGGACAAGGTATTTTCCATGTCAAGGAACTCGTTATCTGGACGAAAAAGTCACCCAAAAGCAATTCCGGCTAACGAGCTAAATCACTCGTTCGACATGCTTTCAGATCGTGCAAATCACTATATGAAGTCCGAAGTGGACTCCTTTGAATAAAATACATTGATTTTGCCGAAGGAATCTTCTGTTTTTCTTATTTTTAAAAAGTCCGGTTTACTTTGTATGTATGTATCCGTAAAATGCATTCCTCGTATGGAATGAACATACCAACGTACCGTTAAATTTTTTAATGAAGGGTATAATTAGGATCCCCTCTAGAGAGTCAATGATTATCCCCTTGCTATTAGAGATTCAACATGCCCATTATATTATCAAACACCATGCAGCAGGAGGTTCAAGTGCTAAAAGGTAAGCTTTTAAGCACAAGGAAAATGCTTTGACTCGGAAACTCCATTACTTTTCATAACTAATGAAACTCTTTCTCAATCGCAGATGTCTGCACTGAATGTACGTGAGCTCAACAACACACGAAAGGCCCAAATGGAACTGGTCTTCTTTAATCGCGTACCAAAGGTTGGCAGCCAAACGTTTATGGAGCTGCTGCGACGTCTCTCCGAACGGAACAACTTTCAATTTCATCGCGATGCGGTGCAAAAGGTAGAGACCATCCGCTTGGCTGAGGATCAGCAGCAAGAGCTGGCTGAGGTAATAAGTGAGCTGCCAGAACCATCCGTATTCATTAAGCACGTGTGCTTCACGAACTTCACGAAATATAGTCTGCCGACCCCGATATACGTCAATGTGGTAAGCTGTCTTTGGTCACATTTATTCCATTTACTATTAAAATCGTTATCCTCGGACAGGTACGCGATCCTATAGAACGTGTCATCAGCTGGTTTTACTATGTCCGTGCCCCGTGGTATTTTGTTGAACGCAAAGCGGCCTTTCCGGACCTGCCACTGCCACATCCGGCTTGGCTAAAGAAAGACTTTGAGACTTGTGTCCTTAGCGGCGATCAGGAGTGCACCTACACACAAGGAGTCACCGTCGAGGGCATCGGTGATCACCGCAGGCAAAGTTTGTTCTTTTGCGGACACGACTATGAGTGCACGTGAGTGGCTGATTGGCAATCTAACTATATATACGCCGGATCTAACTATATACATATAGAGAGAAATATGACATAATACACATAAGTGTTAAGGGAGTTACTAAAATAATTCCGAGCTCTTAACAGTTTCGGAAAAGATATTTACTTCTTGATGATGGAAATCTGCTTAGTATCTTAAATTCTAAAGATGAGGCGAAGCTATATACTTTTAGAACAGATGAATTCGAAATGTAAAGCGCAAATACAGTGAAGAAATATAAATTAGTTTATTGCAGATCCAGATAATAGGGGTTTCCTTTTTTTCGGAATATCGTAATAATTTCCGTACTTATTTTTGATTTGACTCCAAGTTGTCGATTAATAGAAAGTTCACAAAAAGTTTGAGGTATCTGAAAACTATATTTGAGGTAAATAAAGGTTTTAAATAAAGTAAGAATTTCTTTATGGCATTGTTCCGCAATCCCCCCAACTGGTCTAATGATAGCTTCAGTAGCATTTGGCCATTTAATTCATTCAATATGCTGCAGTCATATTGATTCAAAAATATAAAATTTTGGTTACATTTGTAACAAAAAATAAAATTGTTGATTACATTAGATATTTGAAGCGACTTTTAATAAACAACTACTCAGTAAACTTAGTTACAATACCAAAGTAGAAGTATATTGATTTCCATATTTACATGACAATTTTTCGCTTTTATTTAAAATCAATATTATATATTATTGATTTGAATTTTAAACCGAATATATTCCCTGCAGGCCTTTCAACACAGTGGGTGCATTGGAGCGTGCGAAATTTGCAGTGGAACAACAGTATGCGGTAGTAGGAGTGCTTGAAGATTTCAATACGACGCTATCGGTGCTGGAGAAATACGTGCCACGCTTCTTCCAGGGAGTACGCGATATATATGCCAGTGGGTTATCTTTCGACCATTGGATATTCGAATTCGTTTTCTAACGCACATACCACAATACTTTCAGGCAGCGCAGAGTATCTGACCAAAATCAACAAAAACAATTTCAAGCCACCGGTGAGCGAGCAGGTGAAGGACATCGTTCGTCGTAATTTCACTAGCGAAATAGAGTTCTATCAATTCTGCCGCCAGCGGCTGCATAAACAATATCTGGCCGCTCATCTGCCACAACGCATCATCACAGGTGCAACACATACGCTTACTGGCAATTAGTTGATTGTAGGGCCAGCTTCCGCATTTGTATAAAAACTTTTACTCTTTAGTCAGCCAAAATAAACAGGCTCACCAATGCTAATTCTTTTGTTAATCTATTTTCCCTGTGTATATTTCCTGTTGATTATCGAAAATATATAGTATTTATATACTTAACTTATGTAAGAACAGAAGCGCATCCTAGAGCTAGCGTGCGTGGATATATTGAATTCATTCTAATTGTGATGATTTAATTTGTTGAAATTTGTGTTTAGTTTTTATATATTATAATTATAAGTCTGTAAGCAAATAAATGTATTAATAAAAGCCAATCGATTATGTTCCGAAAATATATTTATTTATTTTGAAAACATTTTTTCCAACTTTGAACCGCATATAAAAATAAACATATGCAAAAAAAGAAATCAAATTTGTTGCAAAAAAAAAAAGAAAATAAAACAAACTCGTATAAATGTAGCAAACGCAAAGAATTAAAATCAACAAAATGTTTATTTATCATATAAATTCCACTGCATTTATACTAAACAAGAAAAAATATAATTCAATTATAATTGAAAATTGAACACTTTGTGCCTTTCTTTGAGTATATGTGTTTATATTAGTTAGACAAAAAACCTGAGCCATTTACCTATAGTATAGTTAAAATGTAGCAAGCAAAGAATTTAAAACGATAAAGATATAAAAATATATTTCTTGAACACTTTGGCGTTTTTCTCGGAGTAGGATGTATGTTTACTTCAGTTTAAAATACTTTTCGATGATTGTTGATTGTTGTTGATTTTCCTGAAGAAATATGTCTCTCCTAAGGCTGTGAAAAAGAAATACATATCACATTAGCACTGCGAAATGGAACTACTAGAAGCTCCTACCTCGGATTGCCATAGAAGGCGTAAACTTTATTCGAGTTCATATCTTCACCAGGCCCACTTATTCGTCGCCTTACAAGCCTCCCTTCGTTAGCTTCTTCTATCCTCTCGGTTGCACGCAAGTATTGCGTCTCCGTATCATTGGTAATCTGCTCTAATACACGTTCATCGTTGAGCCGCAACCATTCCTCGGGATCGCTTTCTGCATTCACGTCTAGCAGATGCGGCTGCTGACGCCTAACTATTTCGCCAAATATGTCATTGCACAGCAAAACCTTGGGGAGCTGGTATGCCTCCAAATGTAAACGGTGGCGCGCCAAATACAATAACCAAATTTTATGGTAGTCCTCGTAACGGTACTCAATTCGTTGACCATCAGGCGCAATTCGAGCGTTCAGAAAGATTTCATCAAAATCCATTTCATCAGCACTGAGCACTTGGAGGTAATGATTGTCGCGCCGCAGATAGTCCCACTTGTCCACATCTAGACCACAAACTTTATTGTGCACAATATCAAAGATATATGCATGATGCATCATTACATAGTTCAGCTTGCTCCTGTCGCCCAAAATTAATGCTTTTATGAGATTTACGCCACGTCCATTATGGTCATCCCGCAACGCGACAAGTTCGTCGTCCCTGGCATCGCTGAAAACCCTATCAACACAAGCCTCACTATTTTTCTCGTGCTGTGAATATTGCATAATATCATATTAATTCGCTCTGTCAACAATGGGTCCACTGTTTTCACTCAATACTCACGTTAAATTGTCCTTCGCATACGTGCTCCCAAGTGTGCGAAAACGGTCCATGGCCAATGTCATGCAGCAAGGCTGCAATTTCGACGGACTTACGACACCAGTCCGGCAGTTCGTATTCGTAATTTGAATTCCGGAGTAGAGCATTCAACTGGTCTTGGGCGCTCTTGAAGGTGCTGTTATTAAAGAATAATTATTAATACCCACAAAGAAAATTGTATTGTCTTTTTATCGACTTACCCAATACAATGTTCGAAGCGCGTGTGATTGGCGCCAGGCTTTACTGACAGCGGTAGTAAGCCTAACTGAAAAACCTTCTTCAATCGTTGAAAATCTGATTGCTGCGTTATTTCTTGGATGTAAGAAGGCAGATATATGATACCATGAATGGCATCCTGAATCTGGGCCTGAAATTACAGTTAAAGTAACAAAAAAAAGATTTAATATAAAGTAATAATATTCAGATAATAAACTTAAACGTAGAGTAACAATATTCTGATATTATGTTCTTTCAATAATTTGGTTTGATTAACCAGCTAGATCCAAACTTTTCACGAGCATTTATGTGCACACAATCTAATAATTTGTCATACGTTGAATTATTTGATAAGATTTGAT